GGTGAAATGCAACCGGCCTGATTTTTTTGGTCTAACTATTCGGTCTGATCCGGTTTTGAAAGCACTGATAAAACTTTTAATTATCGGGGGTCAACAAGTGGCTGTTTGGAATGTCTTTGAGCATGATACATCGATCCATTAAGTCCCACGTCTTTTTGGTTAAAAAACATTGAGGGCAATTACCCTTCTACCCCACTAATGTGTCACCCAAACATTCCCAATAGTCAAAGTTTGAAGTTTTTTTGTCTCTAAGTAGGGTGAGCAAATGGGTAGGTTCTACTTGGAATCAAATGGAAATAATCTTAAATCGGCTTTGAATCGATTCTACCCAATTTGTTATATGATAGTGTCTAGTTCTATATTCTTAGAATTGATTCTGCCCAAATCGGCTTGGAACCGAATTTTCCTTGAAATAAACCCCAAAATACTTTTGAGAATGTGAAGATTTAAACCCAAACACTCATGGTTACAAAGGCCATGGTCTCACTTGACCATTGAGTTACTCAAGTGATTTGATCATTTGTTTTCATTTAATATTTGAATGTGTATAATAAGTAATGTAAAAATTAATATTTACAAAACTTAAATTATAATGATAAGTTTTGACCATACATTAACATATCATAATAATCTACATATTAAATTACTCAATTTCATCAATAAAAAATAATGTAAGTTATAAACTATATATAATCTATAGGGGGATGGTAAAGAAAGAACGGGTTCTACAGGTAGACCTTGAAACCAGCCTGGAACCAACCTTTACAGGACTGACTATTACATGGTAGGTTATAGGTTCTGTTACGGAACCAAACTGAACCGACCAATGCTTACCCCTATCTCTTAGTACCCAACTCTCCCTCCTTAATTTGCAACAACAAAAAAGATAACAACTCTTCAGAAAGCAAAGAGCCAATAAATGAATGGTCTCGACGTGAAGATGCCAATTGGCTCATTAGTAAAGATCTAGCTGGTTGTAGTGAAGATTTTGGAATTGAATCCCATCTCACCAAGGTGTAGAACTGTAAAGTCGGTTGTGCCAAGTCCGATCCAAACCCCCGTGCCATGTTGAGCAGGGATTTTGAGGCCTGAGTCGGTATGGTATAATACAAAAAAGTGAGCCATGTCAGCATGGCTCGTGGCCCGAAACCCAGACCACGGGCCGTACCAGATTTCCCGTTTTAGAGATTCTGGACTAGACACACACAGTCCGCCAAGGTCCAATGTACCAGCACGGCACAGCCCACTACTGTGCGAACTGCCCGATGACATGATGACATCCATTTAAAGAATCTTTATATATTGCGTTGGCCTCACGTCCAAGCCATCATCTAAAATCTAAATCTATTTATTTCTATCTCTAATATCTCCTTTTTCCGCTATGTCCGTGCCATCCAATTGTCATCAAAGAAACACCAACACCCTTTTTTAATAATAATAATTGGGCAGCTGGGGAGATGTCCAATTGTGCTGTCTGTGGTTATGTTTGTTGGTTCGTTGGATGGGTTGGGAAAATGGAAATTAATTGGGAGGGAGAGTGAAGGGGTTGGGCTGCAACTTGCAAGCTGAGGTGGGGCCGTCTTGTGCAGATGAGTAGGGTTTTGGGGTGCACCAGTCGGTCCACAACTAGGACTGGCCCGACCATTTTAAGTTGTCTTTGTTTGTATGCTGGAAGGTGGTGGAAGCTCATAGGTGGAGACAGAAACGAGTGTTTAGTTGTTTACCATGTATATTCACAATACATGAATTTGGCAGCTGGCAATGAATCTGGACTTCTCACCATTTTTTTAGGCTGTAAATGGGTGTTGCCTCGTTGGTTGGGGAAGATGATAAGATCTCAGTTCTCATTCATTCATGTCTTTGTTTTTTGTGTTTCTTTTTTTGAATAATCTAATGCAGCTTTGGTACGCTAGACCTAGTTAGTGGGTTAATGGGTTAATGGGTTAGTGATACAATGCATGCAAGGCCTACTGGTAGGGTATCTATTGGTCTAATCCAATCTGGTCGAATATGAATCCATTACAACGTAATGGATCGGGTTCAATCCAATCCAATAAATATTTTAGAACATTTTGGATCGATTTAATTTAATGTTTGAACCATTTAATCTGTTCAAATTGGTTATAAATCAAATCTGGTCCATTGACACCTGTATTCTTATCTTCTATCAAATGGATGGACCGGATCCAATCTAATCCAATAAACACTTTGACCATTAAGTTTGAACTGGTCCAATTCAATGTTTTATTAGTCCATCTAATCTGTCCAAAAAATGAATTTGAATTAGATGGGGTCCAACCCAAACTGGTCCATTAACACCCCTACAATATAGAGCCCGTCTATGTATAGGTGCTTGAACCCAGGCCTCATTTATCAGCAAAGCTTGTTTGAATCTTGTGCATACATGTATATTTACCAAAAGTTGTTGGTTTAAGTTTTATAAAAGTTGTTTCCAAGTCATTTTATTTATGATGTATAAAACTAAGCTTACTTTTGTTAATTACACATATAATATTCTGTTTATTTTTAGTCAAGGTTCAAAGTTTGGATACGTCGGTATAAAAAAAACAATCGCTTAATGTTTTTTTCTTTTTGTTTTTTTTTCAAATTTTGATTTTTGGAAATGTTTTTTGTCTTTTTTTATTAAAATTAATGGGTTCCGAAACACCTATAAATAGGTGTATCGAGACTAAAAAATATGATACGATACACCCAATCGTATCAATACTTTGAACCTTGATTTTAGTTTAATGATATGATATTCAATTTCTATATCCAATCTAAATTCAATCTAAATCTGATAAATACGATTTTAATTTAAATATTAAAAGATCGATCTTGGATCAAGGTACATTTGATCTGATCCATGTTAGCTCAACCTTTCCTTTGACTTGAAGGATCCTCGAGATTTTATCAATTCTTCTTATATTTTTATAATAAAAATTATTAAAACATGTAAAATCAACGGCTCAACGAGGTTGTTTTAAAACTATTGACCTTGTTGGTCACTGATCAATACACAGATTTTCTTTTAATTAATTAAGTTCTCTCATGAAGAACATAAGAAAGCAAATGCCATTGTAAAAGATAGAGGTATTTTTAACACCAGCCCATGCATTTTTAATATGCCTCTTATTTAGTTAATCATTATAAAGGAACCATTCTTAAAAAATTCAAGGCGCTAGGAAAGGCTCATGAATAGGTCTTTTTTCTCTAATATGTTCTCTTACCAAAAGCTTATTGGGCTTCGGCTTGAAGCATGTACAAGCATAGGTCCACTCTTACCTTGTGCTGAAATTTAATTAAACATAATGGGACAACGAGGATCAAATAGTACTAAACTTTGGTTTGTCAAATAGGCTCAGATACCATGTTAAGGAACTATTCAACTTAAAAGTTTAAGTTGCTAGATGAAATCCTTGAATACATTTCTATTATCTAACAATCAGAACTGATTTTCTAGAATCAGGGTTCAATGTATCAGACTGTATCGGTGTTTTTTTATGTTTTTTTTATTTTTTTCAAAACTGGTTCAGAGGGGTCGGTTTAAGTCCTAGCTACCCTCTGAAGTATGGTCTGACCCAATACAACCCCTGTAGGGGCATATCGGCAAGTCATCGGCTCGATATATATCAGCCAATACATATCGATACTTTGAACCTTGCCTAGAATTCAAGAAGACCTTCGAATCCTAAATTTTAACCCTCTAATTTATTATAGCAGTTGTGTTGCATTTATATGTAAAACTAAGGGTCCGTTTGGTTCGCAGCTGGAATCGGAATCAGAATGGTCCATTCCTGGCATCTGTTTGATTCAGTCAGGAATCTAAATCAGCCAAAGTTTTCAATTCTGCCCCTGTTAATGCCTTGGAAGAATCACAAGAAAGACCTGTCAACTACAATAATAGAAAATTGGACCCTATGACTTTTTCCATTTGGTGGGAACTTTTTTATCAGTAATCAGTAATCAATTCATTAACTTAATCAAGAAAACATTC